ACACTGACGTGCGGATTGTTCATGGACGTAAGACGGTTCTTACTTCACCATGCTGGCGGAAGGATCCATGATTACATGCAAGAGGCCACACTCCGGCACAGCGATGACTTAACATAACATCACTGCCACAGGCTAATTTGCATGTCACGTGGCCGGACTTTTCTCTTGTTTGTAATCAAACGCGCATATTCATAATAAGAAGAGACTAGACTTACGAAAGCTTTTCGGCACTATCTTCATAATGTTTTACATTGTTACATATATATTCTTCCACAACTGCGACAGTAAGGCTTATGACAGTACATATTTATATACCAAACTGGCTGCATCGTTTGCTCTCCGTCGGCTTCGATGACTGCACGTGGAGCCGTACAACCTATGTAAACAAAGGATCGCTACGCAAATCGAGATAGTGTAACATGTTTTTGGATATTTTCTCAGTGAAACTAAACCATTCTATTAAAGATGTTTAGTTAGATGTGTAGACTCGTCAAAACTAAAAAGAGTAAAGGAAATCTGTACATTATATTGAATAGACATTGCAAGATGTGACGAATCGTCACATATTTCTGGCCTGTGGCAGAGGTACTATGCTGGCTTGCCGCATGGAACTCTGGGTAGGAGAGTGGCAAGAGGCGAACAACTTCAACCTTGAAGGCTGGTCCAAGACTACAACCTATATACATGGATGGGTTAGTGTTATGGTATGGAAGTGTGTGTATGTGTGCGTGCGTGTGATGCACTTTTGAATATTTCGCTCATATGACGACGTGCATGCGTGGGTATGTGCGGCTGCTTGTACTAACCCAGACTTAAGCTGGTTTTATAGTGCTAGCTCACTGAGATACCATGCCGAAGTTAAGCATGAATACCCCACTCAGACACATTATACTGACTCCGAGCCGACCAGTCCTTGTTGAACCCAATAATGCCGAGCACCAGGCAGGGACCAACAAGTACCATATTTTAAAGTCTTTGGTATGACACAGCCGGGGATCAAACCCGCGACCTTCCGCTCTCCGAACGGGCGCTCTAACCGCGTACGTGTGAGAGTACGTGCGTACGTGCGTGTGTCGAGGGAGAAGGGGGTAGTGATCTGAAAGCGCGCCTCGTTATCATGAATGGTGTTCGGGGATCCATTCTGCGCAATGATCAGGTTCAGGTTCAGTCATGGGCGGCGTAAACCCTGGATATGTACCCTAACAATCACTTGGACACTTGGGTCAATTTAGACAGTCGACTAAAATGTCAAGGTTTACAATAAACTTGCCTTTTTGGACCGAAGATGTGTTCAAACCCAATTTCACCGTGCTTCGTGGTTTATACGATGTGATATAATGAAACATTAACATTAAACATATGATAACAATATTCGTCTTTGAATTTCGTCTACTGGCTTTCTTAATGAGTGTAAAGTTTCTTTTTGCCGTCAGTATACTAGTATATGTCCCATGGTTAACGAGGGATGTTTACTGGAGTGTTGTGACTTTATTAATCTCCGTTGAAAAATCTACAGTCTTTGTTTTGTTGTCAAGGTGACACCATGGCCTGTGGACAATTTAATGAGTCTTAAGTACCCAATCATATTCTATTTTTAACCTACGTCCTTAAATTTAAGACCTTCGGTTATCAAAAGCTAAATAACAATCTCAAATCTAAAAATACATACAACACATGTTTGTCAACATACATCAAATGAGAATCGTGTTACGTTTTTCGAACAGAAACCTATCAAATGAGTCCCCAAAAATGTTGCATTTCATTTTACGTAATAAAGTAAGGAGCGAATATGGTTTTATGCCGTTTTGAGCAATGTTCAAACAATGTTATTTCAGGAGACACCAAACATGGGCCTTCTAGCAAAGTAAAAATCGAACCAGCGTCGTCGGTGTACCGTGCGATCGCTTTAACCACAGTCTACTGAAAAAGGACGTAAGTATATGTTGCAATCAATATTAGAATTAATGTATGTTTAATCCATATTTAATATTCCTATTAAAAGCAGTTCAGTAATTGACCATGTTATTATCAGCCGTTTATTTTGATAAAGTAACTGAAATAGAAAAATGATCTTTTTCATGAAAAAAGTAAACACAATAATATCGGTATTATGAAAAAAACACATATTAAGATTACAATATTCCATATCCAGTTAAGTAGGTACAGGGATTTAAAGGAGATGTTTTCTGGACAACTAATTACAAAATATTACTGACTGACTGAATGAGTTTGGTTTTACGCAGCTTTTAGCAATATTCCAGCAATATCACGGCGGGGGACACCAGAAATGGGCTTTACTCATTGTACCCATGTGGGGATCCGAACCCGGGTCTTCGGCGTGACGAGCCAACGCTTTAACCACTAGACTACCCCACCGCCCCACAAAATATTACAGTTACCAGTCTTTGAATGTATTTACACTGAATAATTGGCCATTTTTTAAACGAAAGGAAAGATCATAAGTACAAACTACAAGGTGTTTAGTGAAACTACTTACCTGTTGAGAACAATATCTAGCGTGAGACCTGTACGCTTTAAGTCACGAAAGGACAATTGCAAAATGAGAAGACGAAAGTGGCGGTGGTTACCTCCCCTTATATCGGGCCATCTTTGAAATCCTATACGGTCAGGAGTTGGATAAGCAGATCACGACTCGCTAACTATGCGCTACTATCAGCCAATCTGTCAGCAAATACGGTTGCCCATAGCTAGTTTATAAACAATGAATTGGTAAAAGTTTAGAAATGTTTTGTTAGTGCGTAGAAAGTTGTCAGGCGGTATTGTAGGGCGAAGGGTCTGACTTGAACATCTTGGTGTCTGTCTTACATGTCTGTCTGTCTGTCTGTCTGTCTGGAATATAAGCAGGTTAAGGAAATATGTTCAGTTCAGATACAATATATTTATCTATTTTTAACTCGGGGAGATCCGGGTTTGAATTGGTCTTCAGTAACACATGCTTGTCGTAAGAGGCGACTAACGGGATCGTGTGGTCAGATTCGCTGACCAGGTTTGCACATGTCATCGAATCCACTGTCATATCAAAATTAGGTGTTCATTTCTTTGCTGGTTGAGGTGGAACTCAGCAATAAGCCTACCAAACGACGGCGGCACGTAAAAATCGAGACCGGAACAGACATCCCCGTGGTTGACGTCAGGAGCAGAGATAAAAGCCGTAGGTGGTGATACCATGCCATCGACCGAGCCAGACAGTAAGGCGTGACAAATCACGCGCAAAGGTCAATTGTACGCTGAATATTTTTTTCAGTGAAGTGTCGGAATATATACACTTTTATTCTTCCAATTGAGAGTACAAGGGAATGCGAGATTAGTTAAAATAACAATAGAGACGAGTAAAATTTTCATTTTCAGCTGGGGCTCATTGTACAACGTGAAAAGATAACAAACGGTTGGTAAAACTAAGTCATCCCTTTATGTCAAACAGCTTGGTACTGAGATTGCCATGCTTTGAGTGAGTGAGTGAGTGAGTTTAGTTTTACACCGCTTATGGCAATATTCCAGCAATATCACGACGGGGAACACCAGAAATGGGCTTCACTCATTGTACCCATGTGGGGAATCGAACCCGAGTCTTCGGCGTGACGAGCGAACGCTTTAACCACTATCCCACCGCCCCGCCATCGCTTTGAATGTCTGTAGACAAATTCAGATAGTGCGTTGACGATGGTTTATCAGTTGTTTCCGTGATTTCAACTCTTGTCTTGAGAGAGTGCTTGGTGTCATCGCTGACATAGCTCTACCATCATTTGCCTTAACAGTGTAATCTGTTTCGTCCGATAATCGATAATCGGTTGTTCTCTGACGTTGGAGGCGGCGGGGTAGCTTAGTGGTTAAAACGTTCGCTCGTCACGCCAAAGTATGGTGTCTGATTAGGGCCATCAATTTTAAGGCGAGAAAGCGATGGCCCTAATCAGCCACCATACCAAAGTCCTCACATGCGTACAATGTGTGAAACCCATTTCTGATGTCTCCTGTAGTGATATTGCTGTAATATTGCTAAAAGCGGCGTAAAACTAAATTCACTCACTCACTGACGAAGACGATTTATAGATATTTCAGTGAGATAGGAGTCATGGGATGAGATCGTCTTTGTCCTTCCAGCTTCGTCAACGATTTCTAGGACCTTCATGATTCATACTCGGGCACATGTTGGAGACGAACAGAGCTATCGGTGATATTATCTGTAAAATAACACGGGTCGGTATCAACCCTTACACAATAGATTCCTAAGCTACTATTATACGTACCACTAATTATTACTTTTATAACGGTGTTGTTGTGCCATGTATACGCTGTATACTATGTATGAGAAATGTTATATTGTACTTCGTGTGTTGTATCACGTTTTACAGTGCATCTTACATGATATTATATACCATCGTAATTATGTGAAAATTATAAATGGGGTAATATAAATTATTTTTATTGACAGTTGGTGACTATCAGTATCAGGTAGGATATTAATGAAAACATGAATTCATTCAATTAAGAAACAACAAGAATCGGCTGACAGTTAATTACCAGAACATTCTCAGCCGGGGAAAAGATAGTCAAGTACAGCTCGCGTTAAAGCCTTGCTCCAAGGCTCTACTGAAGGGTAAGCCCAAGAATGTATAGTAATTCTATCCTTTAAAGGGGTAAGTTAAGATAAGCGGACAATACTAAGGACGCGAGTCTGTTGGAGGGATATAGACTACTACCCCTAATGTTGAGGTTATACAGAAACTAGGGAAGATATTTTTACGAACACTAAGCACGACGATAGTGTAATTGCGTTATTCGAGAGTTCGTGTGCCACTGTTTATTTCCATAACCTGTCATGTTACCCGTTATCTGTGATACCCTGTCTTTCCCGGGTGGCAGGTAACCCGGTATGCTCTCATCAGTTAACCTTCACTATCTCTCCTCATTATAACGCGAGTTGAGTTTCACAAGTCTCTAAGGTAATTAATAGGTTAAATGATAATTTCTGAAAAATATAAAAATTTGGTTGGTTGGTTGCTGGTAAACAACAACAAACAACAATAATTATAATATGTACATAATAAAAATTTCCACTTAAAATATGTGTATTAATTTTATTGTTATTAACAGTGGAAATTAATTTATTAGGTTCATATTATCATATGAATTGTTGTTGATTTTGTTCTTATTGTTTCATTTATGTTATTCTTGTTGTTCACAGATTCAAAGAAATTAATGCAGCAAAGATAGTTCGGGGGATCCTGGTACAGTGAAACTGGTAAGGCTCATCATCAGATAAGGGCCCTTGAACAATCTAGGCGATGTTCGCATATTAACCACGTAATCTTGTCTGTCAGAACGGACAGACACATCGATATAAATAATTTCATTTAGTTTATGGAAAAGGACACGTTCGGGTTATTTGGTTTGGATATGTCTGAGACTTTACAGGACTGTTCCAAAGAATTTTTCTAATGGTCATTTTCCACGACGCCCTCCCATATTGGGTCACACCATGGATGAACCTCTGTGTCAAACCCCGCCATATAGCTGGCATATTGCTGAGTGAGACGTTAAGTAACATAGCTCTGTGTCAAACTACAAGTATAATTATGGTGAAGACGGTAATATAAGGTGAGGTGGGGTGAAATTGGGTTTAACGTCGTGCTTGAGAATATTTCGCTCATATGACGACGTGCATGCGTGTGTATGTGTATGTGCGGCTGCTTGTACTAGCCCAGACGAAAGCTGGTTTTATAGTGCTAGCACACTGAGGTACCATGCCGCAGTGAATCATGAATACCCCACTCAGACACATTATACTGACTCCGAGCCGACCAGTCCTTGTTGTACCCATTAATGCCGAGCGCCAGGCAGGGACCAACAAGTACCATATTTTAACGTCTTTTGGTATCGGGGATCGAACCCGCGACCTTTCACTCTCCAGGCGGACGCTCTAACCACTACACCACGGAGGCGGTCGTGATATAAGGTACGAACCACAGTCATATTATTATTGTTTACTTCTTTAAAGTTTTTGTTTGTTTTACGGGAGGGTGGCCCATTAATGTTTGTATCTTTCGGAGAGGGTTTATCGTATGGGAACGATTCCAATCCAATGTTTTAGTACTCGGCTGACTTCAGACGTAGCCCAGTGACATCATCAGCTGTTCGGGTTACCCGCGTACCTAGATCTGGAATCTCCTGGGTCATATTTCAAGAAGTGCACGTGAACTGAGGGTGTTCTAAAGTTTTTAGTGTGAGCATGGGTGACATATCCAACGTGCGTGTTGTAAGTTTGCTGAGACTTCTAACTTAATCGAATAGCAATTCCAATGAGACATCTTTTGTGTTCGTTTAAAGATTCAGGCTTTTTGGTTTCACCGTCAGATCTGTTTGTGTGAGCGCGTGCGTGCGTGCTTGCTTGTGTGTTTGTTTGTTTGTTTTGGTATGAGACACAAGCGCTGTGAAATAGAGAAATGACTTCTGTCAGGTTGGAACGTTGAAGGTTTGATGAACTGCACAATTGTCGGTTTCTCCGTGGTCAAATTATTCCATATTATAAGTGAATGAAAGCCCTTAAGTACGATGGCGTATATACTATCAGACTCTATACGATCGAATCTGGACCAGGTAAACTAGAGGTTAAAGGCATCAGAAACGACCTGTGACATCGTGGCGCCACGACACGTCTTGTGTCAAAGACCCTACGTTAACACTGTTGAACTGGTTTGTTCGTTTGTAGTTTAACGCCGCTCAAACCAATATTCAAGGTATATGACAGCGATCTGTAAATAATCTAGTCAAGCCAGTGTATGAAATAAGGCCGTCCGACCGTCCGAGACGGGCTAGATTTCTGACGGACGGTCTAAATTTACAGCTAGCCAGCCCGATGGTCGGGTAAAATGTTTTAAGATACATCTGAGTAAATTCACCATATCTTGGTGTCTGGTCTGGTTAAATCCATTTTGGGCTGGAAACATATTGAAGTTACCAGCCCTGATGTCTGGCTGGGGTTTGGCTTATTTCATACACTGAGTCAAGACCAGACAATCCAGTGATCAACATCATGAGCATCGATCTACGTAATTGGGGATACGATGACATGTGTCAACCAAGTCAGCGAGTCTAACCACCCGATCCCGTTAGCTGCCTCCTACAAGCATGGGTTGCTGAAGAGCAATTAAAACCCGGGCAAGTTACTGAGACCACTGGCTTTAAGTTCGTTATAACGCTAGCTCGCTATATGCATTTTGACAATACGACAAAGTAAGGGCCCGGGACCACCAAAACAGTTCGTTTTATCTGTTAGTTCGTCACAAGTGGGTTCGTTATAAACGTAATTCACTGTATTAAACCAACTTGTAGTATCCATTATACACATTATACTTTATTCATATCCTTTACGTTTCCATAGTGTAAGATGCAAACTAAAATATCAGAAAATAATTAGAAACTCAACGCCCATTAAATAATATGCAGATTAAAATTGTATAAAGGGAGAAATTCATGGATGTCAGCTTCTGTAATTAGTATATTCTTACTCGTTCATTCACTTCATAGTGAATATACTCAGAAAACGTCATGCGCCTCATTTTAAAGTCGTTGACGTCTATATATTTTCCAATCATGTGTATTATTTCTTAATGTCATTCAAAGACTTTAAGTTCCACATGTTTTCTCTCTGGTATTGTGACGAGTATGCACAAGATGTTGTCTTCATAACAGTGAGTGAGTGAGAAGCCGAACAAAATATAGTTACAGCACTACAAATGCCATTGAACTGTGCAGATCTGACACATAACCAGAGACCTATTTCCATGAAATTCTGCAGACTTGACATACTTTCTGCAGATTTTCCACAGAATTTCTACAACTAACACCCTAACATCCCTCAGGATTTCTACAGAATTCTGCAGACCTGAGGAAAAAACAGGCATCTTGTTTGTAGCCATTCATGTAAGATCTTGAATCTGAACAGACACTACAATCAACATAGCTGGTTGGGCCATCACCATTCAACAAAGGTTCAGCACAATATGTAATGAGATATACGGTCGATTAGCATTCTGTTTATTTAACAAATATATGAATCAAACATATTATAAACATATGTAAATGTGATAAGGACAAAACTTTATGGATGAACAACCCTAACTGCTCGTGTAACTTGTATAAACATGTCCAACACCTCTGTACATCCCACTGGCTTCTAATGTTATCCCTTGTCATCACATTGTCACTGGCTTCTACCTGTAATCCCTTGTCTTCACATTGTCACTGCCTTCCCTTGTCTTCAACCTGTTCTAAATCCCTTGTCATCACACTGGCTTATTGTCACTGTCCATTGTCACTGGCTTCTACCTGTAAACCCTTGTCATCACATTGTCACTGGCTTCTACCTGTAAACCCTTGTCATCACATTGTCACTGGCTTCTACCTGAAAACCCTTGTCATCACATTGTCACTGGCTTCTACATGAAAACCCTTGTCATCACATTGTCACTGGCTTCTACCTGTAAACCCTTGTCATCACATAGTCAATGGCTTCTACATGAAAATCCTTGTCATCGTATTGTCACTGGCTTCTAATGTAATCCATTGTAACTGGCTTCCACCTGTAATCCATTGTCATCACATTGTTAGTGTACTTCCCTATTACTTCATGTTGTTCTTGTTAACTATTTCACTGCATATATATTTCAACCTGTTTCAGTCTGACTCATTCTTGCTTGACAACGATACAAGAATCTGTCTCGAAACGTCCCATCATCCGAATAAAGAAGTTGTTCATCCATAAAGTTTGTCCTTATCTGATTCTCCAACTTCCCCAGATAGCATTCAGAATTGGCCCAACGTTGGCAATGGTTTAGCCAACATCGCCAACATCCGAATGCTATCTGGGTCTAAACATGCCACTCAAAGAAGTTATATGTAAATGCAAAGCTATTTCCTGAAAACATTGGATGGCTCATACTATCATTAGTATCGCTGGAATAGCTGCAAAGTTGCTGATGAGGCGTAAAACAGTATTCATTCAATCCCTTCAACAGATTTCAGTTGGGACTCCAGCTGGTAATGGCTCCGATTCCTCAATATGGATGATACATTTACACATATCAAACACAGCAATAGACTAAGACCCCAAATATTTCTTTGGCCAACTCAAGACTTGCAAAACTGGATTCTTGCAGAAAACAAGCAGTTATTTCATTGTTATTTTTGATTATTTTATGTTTTATTCACAAGCAGGTCTTACTGATTATCCACACTCTGGGTGAACATCCTGGGCCCCAAATCCTCATCCTGACAGCACCATGGAGGGCTACAGCACAGGGAACTTTCGACCATCGGTGCCATCACATAAAGACATGTACACGTCCGCTTGAGTTGCCACCGGCAACAATGTTCCTGGAGGGGTGGATGTCGTTAAGGGAACACACAGAACCCAGACAGTCAGGGTTGGTGAGAACCTGCACCACTACACCATCATCGTTGTACAGCTCAATCTAGAATAACAGATTCAACCTGTTGTATATATATGCCAAATGACTCAAAACAAAAAAATCAAATGAATATTGTTTGTTTGTTTGTTGTTTAACACCACACTCAGCAATATCCCAGCTATATGGTAGTGGTATTTAAATAATCGAGTATGGACTAGACAATCCAGTGATCAAGAGCATGAGCATCAATTTACGCAAAACTGGCATTAGATTACATGTGTCAACCAAGTCAGCGACCCTGACCACTCGAACGACAACCATGGTTTGCTGAAGACCAATTCTAACGCAGATCTTCACAGGAATCAAATTGATGTATTCAAGGTAATAAAGAAAGCAAAACAAATTTGGTATTGACAAACAAACATTCCTGCATCAACTTTCAGCTGATCAGTGACGGTGACAATGAAAGTTTTTTCGTGGAGCAGCATCACAGCTACTTTAACAGCAGACTATAAAATACTTGAATGTTTGAACCAGTGGTTGACAGAATGAGCACTTCTCATTAGTCCAGAGATTCATACTGATGTAGAGGCTTCTTAGTCATGATCGAACAAGCCTCTCATGACCACCAGATGTTGCTTGTTGGGTCCTAGACACATAGCATACAGGAAAACAGTTTTACAGTACGACCTAGCCTGAAATCGCATGGTAAATCAAGTTGAGAGAAGGACAAAGGAACACCACTGGTACCTGTCTGGGTCTCGCCATGCTGCCAACAACAAACAGATCTTCCCTTGCGGGGTGCCAGGTGGCGCGGAACTTGGTCAGCCATCGTCCCACGTGGTTGTCATGTCTGTAGAAAGTTGAGTTTGACAAGAGAAGTTCATTACTGGAGTAAAACGTTAACATGTTTAACATGTGGTGGAAGTGTGGTTTAACATGTGGTGGAAGTTGATGTTTGTGCTTTTGACACTTATATGGAGAACATTGTATGGATAAAATGTTATAATATGTAATGAAATTGAAGTTTGTACTTTCGACAATGTATAGAAAATATTATATATATATATATATGTATGTATGTATGTATGTATGTATGTATGTATGTATGTATGTATGTATGTATGTGTGTGTGTGTGTGTGTGTGTGTGTGTGTGTGTGTGTGTTTGTATGTATGTGTGTGTGTGTGTGTGTGTATGTATGTATGTATGTATGTGTGTATGTATGTATGTGTGTGTATGTCTGTATGTATGTATGTATGTATGTATGTATGTCTGTATGTATGTATCTGTGTGTGTGTGTTGTGTGTGTTTGTGTGTGTGTGTGTTGTGTATGTATGTATGTATGAATATGTGTGTATTTGTTAGTGTGACATGTGGGACAATGATAGGTTCTATTTCATGTTAAACATCTATACAATGTCTAGAAAGCATCATATATGAAACATGTAAAACATGAAGTGGAAATAAAAATATAAAAATAATAAATAAATAAAACATTACAGGAGTAAACCTATTCTATTTGTCCTCAGCTATTTGCTGCAGACTAGTTGACTGCAGGATATCTTATAGAAACTTCAGTCTCTAGTGGCAAAGCTACTGTGATGTCATGCTCAAATCGATAATATCATAATAATGGTTAGTCATTACGTCACCTCATTAATTAGACTTACCTAATACATTTCTTCAATGGCAGATCACTTTTCATCTCAGAGCTGTCAAATATGCTGAAGAGAGAAACACCACCTTCAGAACTTCTACCTAATCCAAGATCAGCTTTAATGTTCATATGTTCATCCTAGACCATCAACAACCGCCTCCGTGGTGTAGTGGTTAGAGCTTCCGCCTGGAGAGCGGAAGGTCGCGGGTTCGATCCCGACCGTGTCATACCAAAAGACGTTAAAATATGGTACTTGTTGGTCCCTGCCTGGCGCTCGGCATTAATGGGTACAACAAGGACTGGTCGGCTCGGAGTCAGTATAATGTGTCTGAGTGGGGTATTCATGCTTCACTGCGGCATGGTATCTCAGTGGGCTAGCACTATAAAACCAGCTTAAGTCTGGGTTAGTACAAGCAGCCACACACACACATACACACGCATGCACGTCGTCATATGAGCGAAATATTCTCAAGCACGACGTTAAACCTAATTTCACCTCACCTAGACCATCAACATATGACCTATAGAGACATCAAAAAGATCAAGGAGCCCAAGTCAACAGCCTTTTGAAGAAGTTTGTAACATCACAAGATATTGTTTGATAGTCTGAGTTAAAGGGGAAACAAATATTATGTCCCAGAACATGGATGAAACAAATACTTTTGCTTCAGAAGGAAAAAGGAAATCATCTGCCACAAAAACTATCCAGTGATCAACAGCATGAGCATCGATCTACTGACTGACTGACTGACTGACTAACTGAGTTTTGGTTTTACGCTGCTTTTAGCAATATTCCAGCAACATCATGGCGGGGGACACCAGAAATGGGCTTCACACATTGTACCCATGTGGGGATTCAAACCCGGGTCTTCGGCGTGTCGAGCCAACGCTTTAACCACTAGGCTACCCCACGGCCCCGAGCATCGATCTAAGCAACTGGGATACTATGACACAATTATGTCAACCAAGTCAGCGAGCCTGACCACCCTATCCCGTTAGTCGCCTCTTATGACAAGCATGGGTTACTGAAGATCAATTCTAACCCAGATCTTCACGGGGTACAGATCTAATTAGGACACAACAGAACAACAATATGAATACAACAGTATAATTTAGTTTACATTTTATCACCTATTTTTTATTACAACAACAGCGAATAGCAACAATATGAGTGGAGTGTCTGGTTGGACAAGTTAAAAATTTGATGTGTTATTGAGAAACTGGAACCAGTAACACTGTTTGACATTCAACACAAGCTCCACCTACTTGAGAGTGTTATCTGCAGATGCTGACAGAATGTACTTCCCAGTGATAGGGGAGAAGTAGGCACTGTCGACAGACTTCCCGTGTCTTCTCTCACTGATAGCAGAGTTGCTTTTCTTCGACATCTTCCGCAAGTCCCACAGACGTACTGTCCTGAAGTGCCACGGGTAAGATGTTTATAGGTTACCATGGTTAAAGAACAAACTTGGTTCAAGTATCTAGGACAGACAGCACCGTGGTAATGTTGTTAAAAGCCTCAATGAGTGGGTGAGTGGGTGGATTTGTGGGTGGGTGAGTGAGTGAGTGAGTGGGTGGGTGAATGGTTGAGTGGGTGGGTGAATGATTGAGTGGGTGAGTAAGTGGATTTGTGGATGGGTGAGTGAGTGAATGATCGAGTGGGTGAGTAAGTGGATTTGTGGATGGGTGAGTGAGTGAATGTTCGAGTGGGTTTGTGGGTGGATTTGTGTTGAGTGGGTGGGTGAATGATTGAATGGGTGAGTAGGTACGTGGATTTGTGGATGGTTGAGTGAGTGAATGATTGAATGGGTGAGAGAATGGGTGGGTGAGTGAATGATAGAATGGGTGGGTGAGTGAATGATTGAGTGGGTGGGCGAGTGAATGATTGAATGGGTTAGTGAATGATTGTAAGGGTGGGTGAGTGAATGATTGAATGGGTGAGTGAATGATTGAGTGGGTGAGTGAATGATTGAATGGGTGAGTGAACGAGTGAATGGATTTGTGGGTGGGTGAGTGAATGATTGAGTGAGTAACTGAATGATTGAATGGGTGAGTGAGGGAGGGGTAGGACGAGTGAGAGGATTGGTGGCTGAGTGAGTTATTGAGTGGGTGAGTGAGTGAGTTGATTTACCACCACAAAGAAAAGTATTTCAGAAAATCCAAATTTTGTGCATGTTGTAAACAAAAATGTTAAAATGACAGCAATATGAGACCTGGACCAGCAAGACTTACGTGTCGACCGATGCAGTGACAAAGTAGTGCTTCTGGACTGGATGAATGCTCACAGTCCGCAGGTACTTCTGATGACATGGGTACAGGTGCTCCTCCCTCGTCCTGCACAGACAGACATATCCAGCATTACTTAATAACAAGAGATGTAGAGTTGTAGTATATGTGAGTTTACTTGTTTATTGCTTATTGCCAGCTATATGATAACGGCCTGTAAATACTCAGGACCAGACAATCCAGTGATTAATATTATGAGCAACAATCCACATAGTTTGGGTATGATGGCATGTAGTCAACCAGCTGACCATGCTGGCCACCCAATCCACTATATTGGTTCTTGTGACCAAGTGGCTGCAGACGTATTCGAATCCTGGATTCCTATGACCTGACTACTCACTGGGGTGTCCGTACATCCACTACGGCCACGCAGCCGTCAGTCTGGGACACCAACATCACATGCTCTGAGGTGAAGTCAAAGTTGCGGAGAAGTGTGTCTTCATCATCTGGACGAGAGTACACCTACAGCAGGAAGAGTACCAAACCTACACTCAGTCTCACATCAGCAGTTTACTCATGCAAATGTGAGCCTTAGTAAACATGTTTTCCTTACTTATCATATTGAGAGGATTTTGAACAAATCAGTTACTTTTCAAAAAGCTGAAACGTGTCTGGTCAATACTATTCCACAACTATAAGACAAAAGAGCAGTTAAAAATTCTTAAAAAGAACCTGATACTGTATTGAGCTGTATTGAGCATAATAGGTCATCCTCGATAATCTCCAGGGTATACGTTACTATCACTCTCTGTATACCCTGGATGCATCCACGGCTTGGCCCGATAGTTATAATTCCTCCCTTTGCTGGCTCCGCATTCTCACAGTAGCCAATCATCTAAGCTGCCGTTACATCCGAGCTTGCCAGTATCAACAAAGATAGGGGTCACAGTCGCGAAGGTATTGGTCGCAGTTCGCAGAGCCACTCAGAGTTTTGTGGAAATAATACAGACAAATTGACAGATCTGAAACTTTCAAAAAATATATAAAAGAACTCCTTCTACCTCTTTCAAAGTACCTCTGCATCAGTTGTGTTGCCAAGTTTAAACGGTTAGATAATTTAAGAAGCGAAAGTGAGTTGTTGCTTCACTCAACTTCCCAGCGTAGACACCTGATTGGATAAAAAGCCAGCCAAGGGAGGTAATAAAATCATTGCCCCAAGCCATGGATGCATCCAGGGTATAGTGGAGAGTGATCGTAACATATACCATGGAGATTATCAAGGATACCAATAGGTGTACTCTTTAAGTCTTAAGAAAATTCTCAGACTTAAAAGTTAATTCTCAACTACACTTTTCAGTAGGGGTGACTATTGTCTCTTTTAATAACTGACAAGAAACTTGAAACCCAGATCAAGTAAACAGTCAAGTTTGTTTAAGAGGTAACGGGCAGATAACTCTAAATCAAATTGAACGAATCTAGTACTTCCTGTATTTTGAGCTGCACATTTATCAACGAAAGTCAATTAATAAACTATCGATAGCCACCCATACTATCGATAGTTTTTCGTTTCTACCAATGGTTAATTGCTATCAGAGACTCAATAATTGCTATCTATCGATAGTTTGATGCATTGTTACAGTCCTACTTTTCAGTCGAAGAACACCATGCCAAATAGCCATCCAATGATATTAAATTGAAGGCCTGTATGACAAGACAAAAGACACAATGTTTACTTGAATTTTCACAATATTTATTACAGTAGTAATGAGTTACGTGCAGGATCCTCTCCTGACCTATTTCAGCCATGTGATACTTCATGTCCTCCAGCCTTTGGGTATGGTTTAATGACTACCTTTAACATTAACATCAAAGTTTCAAATCACACAAGACATCAATTTGACAACATACCTCATCAAAGACTCCCTTCTCAAAGTCCCCACACCTAAGGCTGCCATCGTAGCTGCAGGAGAAGGTCTTGAGGGGTGCCCAAGGAGGGAGGTGGAGACAGTTGACGGGGCGGGAGTGGGGGCAGTATGCTACTACACCATCATGCTTATCGGAACTCATCTGGAAAGAAAAAGGGTGACCGATGCATGTGGTTTATTATTGCTGGAAGATTATTGCTGAATCACTCTCAGCAATGATCTAAACAGAAGGAGAGGTGAGTTGAAATTGGGTTTAACGTCGCGCTGAAGAGTATTTTGCTCATATGACGACGTGCATGCGTGTGTATGTGTATGTGCGGCTGCTTGTACTAGCCCAGACTTAAGCTGGTTTTATAGTGTTAGCTCACTGAGATACCACGCCACAGTTAAGCATGAATACCCCACTCAGAGACATTATACTGACTCCGAGCCGACCTGTCCTTGTACCCATTAATGCTGAGCACAAGGCAGGGACCAACAAGTACCATATTTTAACGTCTTTTGGTATGATGTGGTCGTCGATTGAGTGAGTGAGTATTGTTTTACGCCACTTTTAGTAAAATTCCAGCAATATCACGGCGGGGGACACCAGAAATGGGCTTCACACATTTTACCCGTGTGGGGAATAGAACCCGGGTCTTTGGCGTGATGAGCGAACGCTTAAACCACTAGGTTACCCCACCGCCCCGGTCGGAGGCGGTAGATCTAACCACTACACCACGGAGGCGGCGGATCTAACCATTACACCACGGAGGCGGTCGATCTAACCACTACACCACGGAGGTGGCCAATCTAACCACTACACCACGGAGGTGGCCAATCTAACCACTACAACCGGAGGCGGTCGATCTAACCACTACACCATGGAGGCGGTCGCTCTAACAACTACACCACAGAGGCGGTGGATCTAACCACTACACCACGGAGGCGGTGGATCTAACCACTACACCACGGAGGCGGTCGATCTAACCACTATACCCCGGAGGTGGCCAATCTAACCACTACACCACGGAGGTGGCCAATCTAACCACTACACCACGGAGGCGGTGGATTTAACCACTACACCACGGAGGCGGTCGCTCAAACCACTACACCACGGAGGCGGTGGATCTAACCACTACACCACGGAGGCGGTCGATCTAACCACTACACCACGGAGGCGGTGGATCTAACCACTACACCGAGGAGGCGGCCAATCTAACCACTACACCACGGAGGCAGTCGATCTATCCACTACACCACAGAGTCGGTCGATCTAACCACTACACCGCGCTGAAGAGTATTTCGCTCATATGACGACGTGCATGCGTGTGTATGTGTAAGTGCGGCTGCTTGTACTAGCCCAGACTTAAGCTGGTTTTATAGTGTTAGCTCACTGAGATACCATGCCACAGTTAAGCATGAATACCCCACTCAGAGACATTATACTGACTCCGAGCCGACCTGTCCTTGTACCCATTAATGCTGAGCACAAGGCAGGGACCAACAAGTACCATATTTTAACGTCTTTTGGTATGATGTGGTCGTCGATTGAGTGAGTGAGTGAGTATTGTTTTATGCCGCTTTTAGTAAAATTCCAGCAATATCACGGCGGGGGACACCAGAAATGGGCTTCACACATTTTACCCATGTGGGGAATAGAACCCGGGTCTTTGGCGTGATGAGCGAACGCTTTAACCACTAGGCTACCCCACCGCCCCGGTCGGAGGCGGTAGATCTAACCACTACACCATGGAGGCGGTCGCTCTATCCACTACACCAAGGATGCGGTCGATCTAACCACTACACCACAGAGGCGGTCGATCTAACAACAAGAAGACAAAGTCATCAATATCCCCCGCAATGGCAAAATACTCTTCATGATTATGTCTACGAGGTATGATTATGTCAAATATTTAGGTGTGTATATAGAAAATTGGAAGGAGAGTATTGAAAGGTTTTGAAAGTTCTGCTCCAGAAAGGAGCACTATCACCAATTTCAGTCTAAGTCAAACTTGTTGCCATGGAAATGACAAAAATATTTTATTCAGAATTCCAAAACTACCAAAAGGCACCAGTACACCACCAGATCTATCTATGTGCCAAGTTTGGTGAAGAAATACTGAATGGTTTTAGAGTTCTGCTCCGGAAAAGAGCACAACCACCAATTTCAGGCTAAGTCGAACTTGTTGCCATAGAAACGCCACAAATATTTTATTCAGAATTCCAAAACTACCAAAAGGCACCAGTAGACCACCAGATCTATCTATGTGCCAAGTTTGGTGAAGAAATAGTGAACGGTTTTAGAGTTCTGCTCCGGAAAAGAGCACTACCACCAATTTCAGTCAAAGTCGAACTTGTTGCCATAGAAACGCCAAAAATATTTTATTCAGAATTCCAAAACTACCAAAAGGCACCAGTAGACCATCAGATCTATCTATGTGCCAAGTTTGGTGAAGAAATAGTGAACAGTTTTAGAGTTCTGCTCCGGAAAAGAGCACTACCACCAATTTCAGTCAAAGTCGAACTTGTTGCCATGGAAATGCCAAAAATATTTAATTCAGAATTCCAAAACTACCAAAAGGCACCAGTACACCACAAGATCCATGTATGTGCCAAGTTTGGTGAAGAAATATTGAACGGTTTTAGAGTTCTGCTCGGAAAAGACAAATGTGCAATATCAGGCTACGTCGACTTGTTGCCATGGACGCGCTAAAAATATTTTATTCAGAATTCCAAAACAACCAAAAGGCACCAGTAGACCACCATCTATCTATGTGCCAAGTTTGGTGAAGAAATAGTGAATGGTTTTAGAGTTCTGCTCGGAAAAGACACTAAAACACGCTCAATGTCGAACTTGTTGCCATGGATAACGTAAACCACAAGGCAGAATTCCAGATCTAACCACTACACCACGGAAGGCAGCCAATCTTGACCACTACACCACGGAAAGACAAATGTGGATCTAACCATTACACCACACGGAGGCGGCCTTGCGCGGACGAGGCCGATCTAACCACTACACCACGGAGGCAGCCAATCTAACCACTACACCAAGGAGGCGGTCAATCTAATCTAACCACTACACCACGGAGGCGGTCGATCTAACCACTACACCACGGAGGGGTCGGCGGGATCTAACCACTACACCACTACGGAGGCGGACAATCTAACCACTACACCCACCACAATGTAGGCGGTGGATCTAACCATTACACCACGGAGGCGGATTAATCTAACCACTACACCACAGAGGCGGCCGATCTAACCACTACACCACAGAGGCGGACGATCTAACCAGAAGGGAATCTGTGGGATGTCAGACATAACAAAACCGACAACGGTTCAGTGAAGAAAGAACGAACTAAAACTGGAGCAACAAGGCTCTGTAGCTCATTTCGTGTATGAAGTAATAAGTTGAGGAAACTTTAAAGATTTTGGTGTAAAAGATATTTATGATGAATTAAAAAACAAATTAGTGCCCAGTAGTTCCTATGAACACAAGGTGCGGTGGGATAGCCTCGTGGTTAAAGTGTTCACTCGTCACGCCGTAGACCCGGGTTCTATTACCTACATGGGTACACTTTCTGAAAAAAAAATAGCCATAAAAGCTTTTCCTTTGTTGAAACAGCAGCTACACTGAAAATCAGTTTCAATACTCTTGAAAAATATAAAACAGGTTGCCTCCATTGGTGACCACAAGCATGTGAAGTTTCAGCTTCAATGGTCAAGTGATTTCTCAGGAGGTGATGTTTACTAAGCATGGGCCTGAATATTTATAGAATCTTGCATGATGATTAAAATGCAAATGTCAAGGTCAAAATTCTAAATATTATGAAAAACGAAAACAGTTGACCAGCCATGGTGTGACTGAGGCACTCATCAAATTACCCAACACAACTGACAAGTTTGGCCTGCTTGAACTTTTCTCTATTGCCTCCAAACTCAAAACATTTGAGATGGTTAATATTTCCCTGGACCAACAAACTCTCCCAATGTTGTTCTGACCACTTATTCTCAGACTCAGTTTTGGTTCCCATGTCAACCTGCTTTTTGCCATAGTTCCCCAAAATTATTTTAAACAGATTAAAGATCCCTGCCATACTCACCACATCCCAGAATCCAACCCTCCCCCACTTGTCGCCCGCGGCAACCAGCACCTTATCCTTGGTAGGGTGGATCTTAATAGAGAAGATTCGGTCCTTCACAACCTTCGCAACTCGGTCCTCAGTCAGATGAATCTTGGAGAAATCTTTAAGGAACCTAAAAAGATAAATATGAACATGTTTGCTAAATATTACATTTGGACAACCACAACCACTTCAATACAAGGGAAGTGACAGAATGATGTTTCATGTGCAGTCTGCAGGATTCTAACATCAACTTGGCCTTCAGATAACCAAATATTCGCAAGCAAAATTGGGTCAACAGCATGAGCAGCTACCAAGGTCATCGACTACAGTGACACATTCTCCCACGGCACAGGTGACATCGTAGCCTTGCTTCAGTCATCATACCTAGTTCCTACCAGCTTGAGTGCCAATCTGCCTTGAAATCTCCACATGGGTTTCCAGGGCTCCAGATAAGGGCCGAATCGGCATATGTACGGATAAAAAATATGCACGATACGGTAGGAAATATTTTGAAAAACGTAGCAGATACGCACCACAGCAATGGTGTACGGTCTTAGAATCATTTACACATTCGTATTTAAGGGAAAAGTATTGTTTTATTGTTTATTGCCCTGTTTACACAAGAGTAACAACGTTGTGGTGTACACATGAAATGAATGACAAGATTTCCGATACTTCATTAATTTGCATTCAGTACTCTAAATGTACTCTTAAGGTTTTCCAGTACTCTTATATTGAAAAAATAAGGAGTCCGTACTCCTGATGTTGAAAAATTATCTGGAGCCCTGGTTTCTTAGGACCGATTAACTTGCTTCCAATAACCCTAAAGCCAAGTGGCTAAATGAGGTGAGCACAGTTCCAGCTCAACCTCAGGGCTTTTCCTTTGAGCGGTGGGTCGTCGGGGTGGTGGGGTAGCCTAGTAGTTAAAACGTTTGCTTATCACACCGAAGATCCGGGTTCGATTCACCTCATGGATACAAAAAATATATGTGAAGCCCATTACTTGTGTCCCTTGCCGTGATATTGCCAGAATATTGCTAAAAGCAGTGCAAAACCACAATCACATACTCACTCAGAAATTTTTGAACTGTTTTGCAGTAAACTCATAAACAAACACATCAACTAATTTTTCAAAATAAATGGGCTCTGGGTGCTTGAAGTCTTCTGTTTAATCATGTAATTTTCTAACATAAATTGATATTTTATACTTATCCTGACTCATGCTAAATGCTTGTCTCCTTCTTGCGAATGATAGTGGAACACTTGAAATCCCTTGAAGTTCCCTTTAAAAAAAATCACTCACCCACGAGTAGTCTCCCTTGCCTCCTTTGGTGCCCTTTTGGGTCACATGACCAGTCATGTTTGTGACTCTCTCTGTATGTAAGCCCGACACCCGGATTTACAGGGAAATCCAGAGTGCCATGAGAGGGGAGGTTGGGAGGGCTACCACTACACCTCCGTTCTTTTAGTAAGAAAATTACGTATTTTTCCTTATCCTGACTCATGCTAATGTTTGCAGAATTCGTCGGAATCGGTTGTGGGCCACCCCACTTCCTGGATTCACAGGCTGTTGATTACGTCCTGTATTACCCCCCCATGGGAACTTATGACGGCACTGCTGATGATCCTGTTCTTCCAACTTCCCTCTGATGAGTCTGGGGGGAAACCACAACTTGTCAGATTTCTTCCGAAACTTCTCCTGACATTTTCGTGTGGATTTTAAATATACTAATGTTCCATTAGTTATCTATTGCAACTCCATCTCTTGATGCGTGCATCAGATGGAGATGCGACCCTTCTTCCTGTACGAGTAAGTCCTCTACAAGTACAGGGTCTATCACTCATGCTAGCCTGTCCTAGACGTGTGCATGGACTTTAACCATTTGCTCTCCAGAGCGGCGGAGTGGCTTCCAACTGTATCTTGTACCTTCTGCGTAGTATCTGGGATACGTAGTCGTCCTGTAGTATTCCCCAATTTTCCGAGTACCGTTGAAGACATCCACCAAAACTGTCGAAGGATGTACAGAAACGGCTTGGGGTGGAAGACTGGTCGTTCCAAACCTGTCCTTCAGCGATTGGTTCCCCCGGCACCCCTGGGTGCTCGGCCTCTTCCGGGGTTGCTTCTGGGGGCTCCGGTTGGGCGATGAAAAGAACCTCTTCCTCCGCTCGAGTTGGAATATTTCTTTTCTCTGGCTCTCTGGACTCCTGCAAACTTGGATTTGTTGGAGTAGTGCTGGGACGTCTGGCGAATCACATTTGCCAAGGTATCTATGGACTTTATCATCATGACCTCCCTTGATTCGTGTGTAACCTCTTTGGCGACTTCTTCAATTCCTCCTCCGAAGATGGATGATGCTGACCATGGGGCTCTGTATAAGGACTTGGTGAACCGCTCACTCCAGGTGCACGCTGACAATAATCCTTGCCTCCTCAGGAGAGTCAGGCCCGCTGATGTGGATGCTAGATGCTCCGATATAAACTGGTGGTCCTTTTTCTGAGTCAGTAGAGCAGACTATATCATCCTGTCGTGTTCGGTGGGGGGAGTTCTTGAACTTCGAGATGAGTGCTTCGTTTATAGCCCTAGACCTGGCTAGTCCAAAAAAAGGTACGTCTGGTAGTCGTATCCAGTTGCGCTAGCTTCTTGTCTTCTATCTTGTAAGTTCTATAGCGGGAGTCGTTGATGATCTTGTAGTACTCATCAATCTCTGGTGCCTTCAGGAAGGGTTCCATGTGATGTAAGGGGAATCTCCTGGCGTTGAACCAGGGGAGGAAATAACCCATAGCCCGACGTCCGAGTCTAGTGTTTTTTTTCTGTCAGGCAAGCAAATTTGTATATCACACTGTAACGGTGTCCAGTTGACTTTCCAATGTTAATTATGTAGTTTATTTAAAAAATCAGCAAGAAAACGGTCGGTATAGTGGAAAAATTATCAGGGCAAGTGACTTTACATGTGCCACTGTTCCGGTGTACACTATCAATTTTAAAGTTATTTCCACCCCTGTGAACGTCGGCATATGCTGATTCTGGAACTTGGTAGCCTTATCAAAGGCTGAGCTGAGACTGTCCGGTACTTGGGAGATCGGATCGATAGGCGGAATGGTGAGTGTGTTGAAATCATCGTTGGACATCTTGTACATAAACGCTTCGTCTGTGTCCTTGGAAGGTGATGCTAGGTACAGGCCATTAGCAATCCATGAGGTTACTTCCGTATCGGAGAATATGACTTCACCTTCTTCATCCAATTTAGACATCTCCTGATCTGACGATCCACGACGGCGTGAGTCTCTGTATGAAGATCTGTATGTCGAACTGCGCGCAGGGAACAATCCTAATATGATCGTGTATCCTTCCTGGAGTCTTGAGATCTCTCTCTAGGCCTTCGTGAAAATTGATTCTTAAGTGTAGTTTCCCCTCTGTGAGATGTGGAGTGCCTGCATGCAGGTTCCCGATGTGCGTCAGAGTCTGATGGTGATGACAATCCGTATCTATGACGTCTGTAGGGTTCGGGAGAACGCTTCGATCTGCCTCTGCGTGGAGAATTCTTAGCGGTTCCTTCAGGGACGTCTAAGGCTGAGCTGACGCTGGTAGCATTGTCCAGGCGCCTAGCTTCAGACGGGGAAGATCGTCGGATGCGAGCATTCACGCAGGCTTGCCTCTACTTCCAAGTGCGATGGAGAGGCTGCTGAATCTTCACGCAGGCTTGTAGTCATCGTAGTGGTCTTCGTAGCAGCTTTCTCCTGCGTGAAGCGATGTTCCATCATCGACATCATCTGGTCTGTAAACTGTTGCATAAACAGCCCTGGGTTGAAGTTCTGTGATGTCTGTTGATGATGCTTCTGACAATGATGAGGTGTCTTCTAAAGCACACTGCACTTGTGAAGAGTTGACACTGCTGCTATCTCTGGTACCCAATGTCTGCGTTGATAGAAGGTCTTCTGTCAATGTCTGCGCTGATACGGTTGCCGATGTAGCTGTAGAAGCAGGGTTCGTCTTCTTGCTGACGACTGTGACTTCAGATATGAGGATGGGGGGATCATCATACACGTCTACTTCTTCTGGAGGTACAATCTCGGCAGAGAAGGATCTCGTCTTCTGCGTAGAGCTGTGTAGAGACTTCGACGAAGTCTTAGGGGTTGTAGCGTTCTTTTTCTGCATTGAAGACGATCTAGTCTTCTTCGTCTGCGAAGAGGACAGCTCCGTTGACGACGATCTCTTATTGGCACCAGAGTTCATCACTGGAACAGAGACCTGCCAAGTAAAACACTCGGCAATTCACTGGAAGAACATGAAGTAGTGCAATCAGGACATAATATATGTGGGTCAGCCGCAGACAGCCGGTACCTACAACAAATACAAGTTTTCATCAAATGTAAACACGACGAAAAAACATGTCAAACAAGGAATAATTTAGATAAAATGTCAAACCATATTAGTAGTATACAATCCTAAAACCATATACAGCAATAATTTTGAAGTAAAGGTCCAAAAGAGAAAAGGATATGTGCCGTATAGGGACCCAGGTGCTCTCACAACCGTCCTCAAGGGCGAAGAAGGAGAGAGTGACAAACATGGCTGGTCATGTTACCCAAAAGGGCGCCAAAGGAGGCAAGGGAGACTACTCGTGGGTGAGTGATGATTTTAGAAGGGAACTTCAAGGGATTTCAAGTGTTCCACTATCATTCGCAAGAAGAAGGAGACAAGCATTTAGCATGAGTCAGGATAAGGAAAAATAAGGGATCATATCTTTCAAACACTATTTTCATTATACAGAGGGGTGCAATGGGGTTTAAAGTCACATTCAATATTATTGCACTTATTTAGCAACTTGTGTGTGCATTTTTCCTTGTACTAGTCAAGACAAATCCGAGTCATATAGCACTAGCCAGCCGAGAGTCCCGCTTCAGTCTAACATGAATACCCTACTCTGACGTATACACATGCCGACCTATACGCATTCCAACCTATACACCCCTCCATACGCCTCCCATCCTACGCAGCACTCAGACCTATAAGCACTCAGACCTATACGCACTCGCACTCCGACCTATACGCACTCTATCGCCTATACGCATCCTTGGACCTATACGCACTCCGACCTATACGCATCTCTACCTATACGCACTCCTACCTATACACACCCGACCTATACGCACTCCAACCTATATGCATTCCGACCTATAATGCGCACTCCTACCTATAATGCACTCAGACCTATATCCGACCACTCCTACCTTTACGCATTCCGACCTATACGCATCTCGACCTATACACACTCCAACCTATACGCATTCCGACCTATACACACTCCGAGCACTGACCAGTCCTTGCAAAGACAGGGTAACAAGTCCCAACATGTTTTGGTTCGATGCAGCCAAGGATTGAACCACCAACCTTCTCTCCTAGCAGATGCTGTATCCACTAAACAAAGGTGATCTTGGTTATTACACAGTTTCTCTGATGTTCATTTATAATTGATCACTGATAAATGAGTGAGTGAGTGAGTTTAGTTTTTACACCAACCTTCTCTCTTAGCACTATTCACTAAACAACTTTTGGTAGGGGACACACGAAATGGGCCACTATTCTGAGTTTAGTTTCACACCGCAACATCTTGGCAATATCTTGGTGGGGGACACACGAAATGGGCCAACAGGAATGTGTATGAAGTGAGTGAGTTTAGTTTCACACCGCTTTTAGCAATATTCCAGCAATATCACGGCGGGTGACAGTCTCGGTATGAAGATAGACTTAAGTATTTATACGTTTTACATCCTGTTTCGTTTAACGATTTCTCTTTTAAATGTAATATTACTCACAGACAACTCGTCTTCCTTAGTTTTAAGCAATTTACTCGCAATAATGTTATTATGGTACACATGCTTCACACATTGTACCCATGTGGGGAATCAAACCCAGGCCTTCAGCGTGATGAGCGAACGCTTTAACCACAAGGCTACCCCACCGCCCCACTGATAAATGAATGAGTAAATATTCTGTCTCCAACATACCCTTCTAGGTCTCTAGAGATGGGTTTAAAGGCCGTGGACTTGCTGCAAGATGTCAGCACAGATGCTGAGAAGTCCTTGTGAGCATCTTCCTCCAGGTGTTCAAACAGACTCTCCACCATCGCCAGCGGGCCAGGAGGCGGGCGGGGCTGAACATGGGGAAGAAAGGGCAAGTATATAACAGGCTGAATCATTGATATCCAAGAAATAGTAAATCAATAAAAGTATATGAAACTTGTTGCCATGGAAACTAGAAAAACAATTGGTTTAAAAATTCCAAACTATCAAACTGCACCAATCCACTAGACCCATCAATGTGACAAGTTCGGTCAAAAAATATTTTCAGAAATGTCCACTACTGTCATTTCCAGTCTTCATTGCCACAGAAGCTCAAAAAACTATTTGTAAATAAATTTCGGGCTAATAAAAGTCACTAGAAGTTTGGTCAAGATAACAATGGCTCTGAGTCAACAAGTGCTGCGAGTGATATTAAACTACAGTTAAACCTTCCTAAACTGGACACTGCTACATGAACACTATAAAGCTTACGTGTTCATCAACTTGAACTGTGAGTTCCTCCGGCACATAGATGGGTTTTGGCGGGGCCACATTCTGTATACGTAAACTCCGTCTCCGAGGTAGAACTTCACGTGGTTTGGGCACCCTGCAACAAACAATTAGGGCTGTGTACTGGCAAACAAACTGTACTGAAACATATTGGGAAATTGGGAGCTAGAGTGCTTGACAGCACACACTTTACATGCAGATCCAATTTGCACACTAAGGCCAGAAAACAAATGATATGGTTCTGATAACATCCAACTAAATATAGGTGGAATTATTTGGGATTGGTTCATTTTTATGCCGCTTGGTCAGTTAATTACAATGGGGAGTGAGTCAGTTTAGTTTTACGCCGAAATGATATTCAGATACTCAGATGATGGATTTTCCAGACACAAAAACCTTCATCTAATTTGCATGGAAAAAATTGACAACTGATCATTTTGTTGGTTGGTTGTTTAACACCGTACTCTGCAATATTCCAGCTATATGGCGGCAGTCTGTAAACAATCGAGTCTGGACCAGACAATCCAGTGTTCAACAGCATCAGCATCGATCTATGCACTTTGGATACGATGACATGTGTCAACCAAGTCAGCAAGCCTGACAACCCGATTCCATTACAGTCCGTTTGAGTCAGAAACGGACCAATGAATTGCAAATTTTATCATTGTACAAAATGCCACAGAAATATAAATAGTACACGTTTATCATTTACTAATACCCGACAGCTTTCTTATATTTGAAAATTTTCCGGACTCCACCAAAAAAGTTGTTTAAGAAACTATCATCATTGAAAACGCAAAAGTTGTTATCTGTCGCGGCGGGGTGAAACCGCAGAAACGGAACAGCCACTATCTCGTCGTGCACGGGATACACATGCCTGATGAAAAATGACTCAAACGGACTGTAGTCGCCTCTTACGACAAGCATGGGTTTCTGAAGATCAATTTTAACCCGGATCTTCACGGGTTGCCAACATCAGTGGTATAAATGGAATATTACAAAACTATAAACTCACTCAACATTGTCATCAGTTCACTGGTTTCAACACAGGATAGCACACAGTCTTCTAGATGACACAAAGTAAAGCTAGATCTCACCTTTTCACTGCTAATCCTTTCTTTGGTTTCACGACCAGTTCATGCAACTGGTGTTTGGCCTGGCAAACACAGAACATTGAAGACAATCTTTTAAACATAATTCATGTTATCATTATAGAGATTAGTTTCTACTGCTGTATATAAATTAATAGATACTTAAAACAGGAAATAACCAAGTACAGCCAAGAACGAGATCTCTGCTTCCCTGAAAACAACTGCTATCCACCGACTCTCAACAAGTTAATAAACCTGATGTCTACAGAAAACATAATGACTATTAAACAAATCGGAATATATCTCTGTGAAGTTTTAATGCTATGCAATTAATTCCACATTATTCACATTTTTCAATGTAATTGCTATCATGCATGCATAAATCTGTACCCAAATGTCTGTGTATGTTGTATGGGCTTCAGACCTTAAAAATTGAATACATTCTGTCTGTCAGTCTGTCTGTCTATTCGACATAACCCACCTCAAGTATTCAATGTATTTTCAACGTAACCCACAACCTGTATCCCAAATAACCATTTTGCGTATCCCACCTCCTGTATTCCACCTGTAATCAACATGACCCACCTCCTGTATTCCACATGTATTAAACATAACCCACCTCCTGTATTCCACCTGTATTCAACATAACCCACCTCCTGTATTCAACATAACCCACCTCCTGTATTCCACCTGTATTCAACATAACCCACCTCCTGTATTCCACATGTATTCAACATAACCCACCTCCTGTATTCCACCTGTATTCAACATAACCCACCTCCTGTATTCCACCTGTATTCAACATAACCCACCTCCTGTATTCCACCTGTATTCAACATAACCCACCTCCTGTATTCAACATAACCCACCTCCTCCTGTATTCAACATAACCCACCTCCTGTATTCCACTTGTATTCAACATAACCCACCTCCTGTATTCCACCTGTATTCAACATAACCCTGTATTCCACCTGTATTCAACATAACCCACCTTCCCACATGTATTCAACCATCCTGTATTCAACATAACCCACCTCCTGTATTCCACCTGTATTCAACATAACCCACCTCCTGTATTCACCTGTATTCAACATAACCCACCTCCTGTATTCCACCTGTATTCAACATAACCCACCTCCTGTATTCCACATGTATTCAACATAACCCACCTCCTGTATTCCACCTGTATTCAACATAACCCACCTCCTCCTGTATTCAACATAACCCACCTCCTGTATTCCACTTGTATTCAACATAATCCACCTCCTGTATTCAACACAACCCACCTCCTGCATTCAACATAACCCATCTCCTGTATTCAACATAACCCACCTCCTGTATTCCACATGTATTCAACATAACCCACCTCCTGTATTCCACCTGTATTCAACATAACCCACCTCCAGTATTCCACCTGTATTCAACATAACCCACCTCCTGTATTCCACCTGTATTCAACATAACCCACCTCCTGCATTCAACATAACCCATCTCCTGTATTCAACATAACCCACCTCCTGTATTCCACCTGTATTCAACATAACCCACCTCCTGTATTTCACCTGTATTCAACATAACCCACCTCCTGTATTCCACCTGTATTCAACATAACCCACCTCCTGTATTCCACCTGTATTCAACATAACCCACCTCCTGTATTCCACCTGTATTCAACATAACCCACCTCCTGTATTCCAAGCTGTGTTAAGAACGCTGCATTGGCTCTGATGTTTTCCTGGCGCATCTTCTCATACGCTTCAGCATCATCAACCTGAAATGATATTCAGATACTCAGATGATGGATTTTCCAGACACAAAAATCTTCATCTAATTTGCATGGAAAAAATTGACAACTGATCATTTTGTTGGTTGGTTGCTTAACACCGCACTAAGCAATATTCCAGCTATATTATATTGGTTACTGAAGACCAATTCCAACCTGGATCTTCAAGGATCTGAAAACGGCTCAAGAAGCATTTTTTCTTGAGTATATTATACACAAAAGCATAATACACACCCACCTACAGGATACTTGGAAAACAGATATTCAAAGTGTCAAGCTGGTTAAAAAAACATGTGAACATGGAAAGAACAAAATCACAAGACATAATAATTTCCAATTTTAATTGTATTTCCCGCTCTGAAGGTTTTGTCTTGTATGCAGGGATTTAGATTAAGAGATTAACATGACTGTGAGCATTTCTCGTAGAGCAGCTATCGTGAACTAGGTGGAAAACAAATCAACAAATTTGTTTGCAGTTACCAGTTACCATGGTTACCCAGCAAAAGGTACTCTCTATACTTTAAGGACACAGAGCGGCTAGCAAACGAGGCGGAAAACAAATCAACAAATTTGTTTGCAGTTACCAGTTACCATGGTTACCCAGCAAAAGGTACTCTCTATACTTTAAGGACACAGAGCAGCTAGCAAACGAGGTGGAAAACAAATCCACAAATTTGTTTGCAGTTACCAGTTACCATGGTTACCCAGCAAAAGGTACTCTCCATACTTTAAGGACAAAGAGCGGCTAGCAATATTAGTCTTACAGCAGCCTGTGATCAAATCATGGACCAGACAAACCAGTGGTCGACATTATGAGCAAAGTCTCATTGTAACCTGGTACAATGACACAATCAACCTGAGCTGGTACAGTACAGGTCAATGGGTAGCAGTGTTTCCGCTGACTAAATTATTTATCACACACTGTGTCTGGCAACCTAAAATTTTACCGGTCATAAATTAAATTTGCCGGTTATATCCTATTACCATACTGTAAGTACTCATTTTAAAGTTATTTTTAGCCTGGGTATTTCCCAAACATAACAACTTTTGCAACCATGAAAGCACAGCCAAGACTGATTTCGCTTACCCATGATTTTTTTATTTTAATACATAATTATTTACCAGACACAGTGTCCGGTTGGCTTTCAATATACCGGTCCCCAACAAATTTTACCAGCGATTTTCAGGTATATACCAGAGAATGGAAACACTGGGGTATCCATTCCATCCTAGGAAACACATGAGAGCCCTACAGCTTGGCTCACTTCCACTTCTGTAATATCTGTCCACTCACTTCAGTATCCGAGTCGGACTCTGTAGATTCAGGCTTGACTGGCATCTGTTTGATTGTTTTCAAAGGTGACGGCATCTTCTGAGGTGACGGCTGCCTGGAAGGTGACATGTCGGTAGTCACACTTCGCTTCCTTCCACGGACGGATGTCGTCTTCTGATCGACTTCATCTTTCCTCAAGTCAGGCTCCAGCTAAGTAAATTAGATAATTCTATAAGCATTGAACAAAATCAAAGATTAAAAACTTGTCATGAACATTTTACTCCTCACAAAGGTCAGGGAAGAAACTCAGAGTCAGTGTATCCTCACACATACAAGGGAGGTAACAACGCAAATAACAAGATTCTGCATTCACCATAAAACATGCTAGTACACATAATATTGTGTCTGTTACTATTGCTTTATGCTGTATTCAACACAACTGCAACAATATTCCAACTGACGATCCATAAAATGGATTCTTTAACAGACGAGTACTGCAGTCAAGTCAGGCTCCAGCTCTCCAATTCGAAATTTTTATTAAAAACAGTCTACATAATCAAAGATTAAAACCTTGACTGGAATAATTCACATTTCCATGAGTGAGTGAGTAGGGTTTTACACCGCTTTAAACAATATTCCAGCAATATCATCGTCGGGGACACCAGAAATAGGCTTCACACATTGTACCCATGTGGGGAATCGAACCCCGGTCTTCGGCATGATAAGTAGGGCTGTAAGGATGCATCTAACTATCAATGGATTGCAATTGCTGAATCTCTGATAGCAATTAATCGATGGTAGAAACGAAAACCTATCCATGCATCGATAGTGTGTGTGACTATCGATAGTTTAGTAATTGACTATGGCTGATAAATGTGCAGCGCAAAATACAGGAAGTACCAGATTCATTCATTTACAGCTTCACTGAGTTTATGTTTTAACTGTTTACTTGATCTGGGTATCAAGTTTCTTGTCAGTTATTAAGAGACTGAAATTACTTCAACTTGTTTCTATTTCATACAAACTATACATTCATTTCAGAAATGACTTCAAATGAGACGATAAGAAATAATGTATGTTGCAATAGACTATCGCTATCTCAATAGTTGTTTCCTCATCAATAGTCACCCCCAATGAAGGCTTAAACCACTAGGCTACCCCATCGCCCCCACATTTCAATGAAAGATTCTGGTTAAATCTACACAACTCACAATTGTATCATGCCATTGTTTTATGCCACAATAACATTGCAACAATCCACAATAACATTGCAACAATCAACATCATCTATGTCAATCCATCAGAAAGTTTACACATTGTTTCTACCAACTCCGTGCAAACATTGAAATCTCCTATTCTGAACTTGGCATTCAGCCTAATTATTCATATCTTTCTTCATTATCATATGGTCTCTTATAGCTATGGTGCAGTGGTTAGAGCTTCCGCCCAGAGAGCAGAAGGTCGAGGGTTCGACCACGGGCTTCGTCATACCAAAAGATGTTAAAATATGGTACTTCTTGGTCCCTGCCTGGCGCTCGGCAGAAAGGGTACAACAAGGACTGGTCGGCTCGGAGTCAGTATAATGTGTCTGAGTAGGGTATTCATGCTTAACTGCGGCATGGTATCTCAGTAAGCTAGCACTATAAATCCAGCTTAAGTCTGGGCTAGTACAAGCAGCCACACATACACATGCATGCACGTCGTCATATGAGCGAAATATTCTTAAGTGAGACGTTAAACCCAATTTCACCTCACCTCATCTTATAGCTTAGCTTACTAGATTTGATTAGACCTTTGACTAGTGGCTTAAGTCACAGACTGCCACCCAATCCTTACCTAACAATGTTTATGATACAGTGTTTCTGCTGGCATTTTGTACAGCTGGACATTGGGACTGGCTAGCATTTCAAATACTAGTCATTCGAAAAATTTACTGGTCAAGTGATCACACTTTTCATTGTGCGTGACACCTTGCACCCTAACAACCAATTTATACCGGATAATGGAAACACTGTGATATCTAAATGATAGGGTTTTGCCAAGATTGCTTTTTACACACACAACTGAGAATGTACACAAGCATTTTGCTCTACAAGTTCCATGAAATGTCAAACTTCTATTTGAACAATTTAAACCAATTTAATGTTAGCCATCATAGCATTTGTTAACTTTACTCTCCCGTTCTAGTTTCACTCAATTACTACGTTCTTTCGTACAAGGAAAATCTAATACATACTAGTTATTTACATTTTCTTTTAAGACTAGTCACCAGAATTAATGAAACAATATTTGTACAAGTTAACAGATTTTATAGCTAGTACTGTTTGAACAGAAAATATTTACTACGTCAAATTTGCTGTCAGTTTTATTCGGTATCAAAATCACAGCATTGATGAGTGGTTCAGAACTGCAGGCCTTAACATGATTAAACATGATAGATGTTAATTGCTGAAATATTGCTAAAAACAGCGTAAAACTAAACTCACTCACTCCCCATTGTAATTAACTGAACAAGCGGCATAAAAATGTCGTCACTCACTTTTAGCCTGGCATAATTTTCAACAGTTTGCTTTTACTCACTATGTCTCTAATGAGTGAGTGAGTTAAGTTTCACGCCGTTTTTAAGCAATACCACGGCAGGGGACACCAGAAATGGACTCCACACATTGTACCCATGTGGGCAATTGAACCCGGGTCTTCGGCGTGATGAGCGAACATCTTAACCACTAGGCTACCCCACTGCCCCCATGTCTATAATGGCTGCTAACACAGTGGTCAAAATTTCCGGAGTCCCAATCGGGGAACTAAATGTGATTCTTTGTTAAACTGATGAAATAATTCATGTAATAAAAAATGTGGAACTGAACGTCAATCTCTTTCAACAAATGCAAATGGGGCAAGAAGCGCATGCTTTTTTTTGAAAAATAGTGTAGGTGGAATATTGCCGATTTTATCTTCTTGTTTTTTACTTTTTTTAACAATTTTTTAGTAGCACCAGGTGAGCACCTGAGAATGTCTTCAAGGATACCATATCATGTTGTTACAATGCCTTGTGATTAAACATTGAAAGATTTCTAGATCAAATCATTATTTATGTTATTTATTTGCAGGTTTTGTCAGTGAGAGCCCATTATGCCAATTCAATGCTATCCATTTTAACCCTAGTACACTGAAAAACATGAAAATATCATACTGCGATTTGGATGAAAATGTTGAGCTGAAATGCACTAGGGTCAGTCGGGTTACCGGAGACGGACATATTTTTTTGGGGCCTAAATCAAGTAAGACCTGAACTTAAGTGCGCGTCTGCATCGCTGGACTTCCACATGGTCAACAGCACGGGAAAAGTCATGTGACTCATTTTTCTGCAGGCATTGTTGCGTTTACACAGCCTGTTCGAACTGTTTGTCTCCATTCTCCAGACCAATCAATACCTCAAAGGGTTGGGTGGAACAGCCTAGCGATTAAACATATTAAAGAACATAAGGGGTTTTTAGGTGTGTTTTTTCAAAGCTAATTTCAGCTGTTCCCTGACACGATATATCTGGAGTATTGCATATATGTAAAAAAAACATACCCACTCACTCACAAAAAGAGAGACCCAACCAATCCCTTGATACTGGGTACAGGCTCTATTCCTTTGTGGTAAGACAAAGGGATCCATGGAATGTTTTGGAACATGATTGTTTACCTCTTTGAGCAGCTTGTTGGATCTTGATCCGCGTGCTACTGGGGGTTTCATTTTCAGCACATCCACATTCTCCTTTGTATCTACTTTCTAGAGAACCAAAACATAATCATGATAATATTCCAATCAGTTCTAAACATAATTTTTTAAAACAAGATCAGATTAGTATCTGTTAAATATAAATTAGTTGCTGAATACCAAAATTCTTAAGCTCAACCTGAGTATATTACAAAATCAACAATAAATAGTGTTAAGTATGCATGCATTTGATTTTTTTCAAAATGTTTTTTCGTCTTTTGACACCAATGAACTGAATAAATGATCAAATTAATTAAATGCCAAATGTGTTTCACACAAGATCCAGTGACATATAGGTAATGTGCTCTGTGGAGATATTATGCAAAATTAATTATTTATGAAAATTATGGTATATTGACAAAGTTGAAAGTGTTTCGATGGAATCTAAAGCTGACAGTGGCTATGACTGGACATTTTGCTATTTTTTCTGCAAACGAAAACTGTGACTTTGTGGCTGACAGTGACACGAAGGATATCTTCGCCACAGACTTTGGGGAAGACTTCACCGGCAAGCCGGCTATCTGTATCTTCTCATGCTTTCAGAGGTTCAACTAACCAAGCTAGTATTTACTGCAGTTATGATTATTTTTAATTCTCTGTACTTACTGTGCGAGTTGAGCGTCTTCTGGTTGAGATTGGCATTTTGCTAACATGTAAATAACTCGGACGATGTGACTATATCCCCTGAAGATAACTCCCGCGAAAACTTTATGTAATGTTGTCATGTGGGCCCCAACTCTGGATTGGAAAACATTTGAGTGGCCCGTCTGTAAACAGGATAAGAACGCAAAGTTCCTGCGCAATCTACTTCAAAACCCAGTTCTTGTACACTTCGGCTTGAGTTGATAACTTTTGCAAATGGAGCGGAATTCATACGGGACATTGTTTGATTTTGGGTTAATATGCGTTTCTATTTCATGCTATCAGAAAAAAAATAATTCCAACATGAATTTTAATGAAACGAAATTTCTTTCAGGGGACATAATCCCGTCTGGACTTATTCCAGAAATTGATGTGCCGTATAATACCCGGACGTACTTTAACTCATTTATTCATATGTCGGTACACCTGATTTAATATCATCTTATATAATTACACCTGAAAATAGTATGTACTGTTCCACGTTTGCTAATAGGTCTGCATAGCTACTGGCTCAGTACATTGCTTTCTTCTAAAGCGGGAGGTGGATTTTGAACCGCCGAGATCCGAGAAAGTGTAATGTGAACATAATGTTACGCCTCAAAGTTCACGAACCATAAATAATGAAGGGAGCGTGTTTTCTAAATGTAGTAACAGTCCCTCATCATTTATGAGTATTATCACAGTTTCATTTACATTTTTAATAGTATGTAATTCAAATTAAGGGTGGTGGGGTAGTCCAGCGGTTCAAGCGTTCGTTTTAAATAACATTGGCCTGTTATCAACTTGGGCTTTCCTTTAACTTTAATCTGACACCCTGTGATTATGGTGTAAAAGTCATTCAAACACTGGTTTGAAAAAGGGGCTGTTCTTTTCGTTATCAAAAGTTCTGCTCCAGTTGACCACCCACCATATTTGATAAAGTGTGCAGTTATGAAACTTCTAACGACCAGGTTCGAGATGTTTTTTTTTGTTTTTTGTCTTTTTAGGTTAGTTTGTTTATTTTTTGTTTTTGTTTATTTTTATCTTGTTTCCTCTTTCTATTTGTTTTTTAAAAGTTTGTTGTTGTGGTTTTGTGTGTTTGTGTGTTGTGTGTGTGTGTGTGTGTGTGTGTGTATGTGTGTGTGTGTGTTTGTTTTGGGGGTATTTTGGATATTTTTTTATTGTTGCTTTTGTTTTTGAGGGTATACATGTCTGTACACTATCACATCCCAGTTTCAATGTACCATAATCCTGATATGTGACTGAATGGAAACAATCCTTCCACATGCTACCCGTGATGATCCGGGTTAGAATTGGTCTTCAGTAACCCATGCTTGTCGTAAGAAGCGATTAACGGGCTCGAGTGGTCAGGCTCGCTGACTTGGTTGACACATGTCATCGTATCCCAATTGCGTAGATCGATGCTCATGCTTCTGATCACTGGATTGTCTGGTCCAGACTCGATTATCTACAAACCGCCGCGATAGAGCTGGAATATTGCTGAGTGCTGCGTAAAACTAAACTCACTCACTCCTCCTTCCAAATGCCCTAATTAAGTGTCATGCGCAGTAGTGGGATTAAGTATCTGTTCGTCACTTTTTACTTCTTTTTAATTTTTTTTTTATACCTGTGAAGATCCGGGTTACAATTGTTCTGCAGATAACCCATGGTTGCCCATCCTGGTTCCCGGGCCTCTCATAACCAGGATGTCCCGTGCTTTGATAAAAATAATCCCCAGTACATAAATCGCTTATGGCAGTATGTGTTTGTTTAAAAATCATGAAAAATATATATCGTCATATTGAAAGCACAAAGAACGTAGCTCACAGAACTGTGTTGCCTCGTGCAGATTTTTGTAAGGATAGTGCCATGGACGGTGCGAGATTCAAATACACGCACGTGCGTTTGTCAGCTCTCATGGGTCCAACTGAAATTGCACGAATGTTCAGTTTGAGAAATATTTTAAAGTCATTTTTGAGTATATGCTTTGGGATTTAACGTAGCTGAATTTTTAAATATATTTTTCGCAGTAAAACAATTGCCATTTGTGATGATTAAATTGGAAATATAAGGTGAACAATTAGTAATAATTACATTAGAATATGTCTTTAACAAATATGTTTTTCTCCTTTTTTTAGTTGTATGAAAGAGGTTTAATTCTTTAGAGTTAATAATTAAAATAAAACACAGCAATACAATGTACGAGTGCTTTAGTGATATTAAGAAACATTGGAAACAAACAGAGACAGAGTTATCGTTCATGATGTTCATGCGCCAAAATGAAATCCTTTCAGCAGGGCACGACTCGCTATTCGGCTTGTCCCGGAATAACACAAGTTGGTCACGAATGGATGTATTGTACTGTGAAGCATTTCGGGTCGGGGGTCATCTCAAATTTATATATATATTTTTAAATCTTTAGTCCTCGCAAAGCCACCAGAACCTGTGTGTTGAGCGAGATATATGTTCTTAGTTGTCTTGTCACGCCTCAGGCACGGGTTTGTTTCCCAAGTGGGTACAATGTGTGAATGTCATGTCTGGTGACCCCCGCCATTATTTGGATATAATGAAAACGTCATAAAATCCAACTCACTCACTCACCCCCAACCACAGGGGCTTGTAACGCTAAAAATTGCAATCAAGGTATGTACTATCACTGACGGGGCCTTAGCACTATATAAAAGGTATAGTACTAAGGCCCCGTCAGTGATAGTACATACCTTGATGGCAGTATTTAGCGTTACAAGCCCCTGTGCCTCCAACCCCGCGTTCACTTTAAAGAGAAACAGAACACACCCGACTTTATTAATATGTTTAATCAAATAACAGACACTTAGGAGAACTACGGACACGTCAAAGATCTAGCGTATGTGTGTCTGGGCGTATATGTGTCTTGGCGTACAAGTGTCATGTCGTATGTGTCTTGGCGTATATGTGTCTTAGCGCATGTGTCATGTCGTATGTGTCTTGGCGTATATGTCTTAGCGCATGTGTCATGTCGTATGTGTCTTGCGTATGTGTCTTGCGTTTGTGTCTTGCCGTATGTGTCATGGCGTATGTGTCTTGGTGTCTTTGTGTCATGTGTCATTTCTCAGGAATTCTGTCTCCCGTAGACAATGTTCAGCACTCCCCTTCTTCCTCTCCTTCGCCATCAACAGAGTCGACTCCAACCTCCTCGTAGTCCTTCTCCAGGGCAGCCAAGTCCTCACGGGCCTCGGAGAACTCTCCCTCCTCCATACCCTCACGCACGTACCAATGGACGAAGGCTCGCTTGGCGTACATCAGGTCAAACTTGTGGTCAAGACGAGCCCAGGCCTCGACGATGGCCGTGGTGTTGCTCAACATACAGACAGCTCTCTGGACCTTGGCCAGGTCCCCGCCGGGGATAACAGTGGGTGGCTGGTAGTTGATGCCGACCTTGAAACGAGTGGGGCAATCGTCGACGAACTGGATGGTCCTTTTGGTCTTGATGGTGTCGATGGCAGCGTTGACGTCCTTTGGAATGACGTCACCACGATACAGCATGCAACACGCCATATACTTGCCGTGACGGGGATCACACTTGACTATCTGGTTGGCTGGCTCGAAAGCGGCGTTGGTGATATCTACCACAGACAGCTGTTCATGGTAGGCCTTCTCGGGGGGATGACAGGGGCGTAGGTAGCCAGAGGGAAGTGGATTCGTGGGTAGGGAACCAGGATGGTCTGGAACCCATTTAAATCCACGTTCAGGGTGCCATCGTACCTGAGAGGGGCAGTAATGGAGCTTACAATCTGACCAGTCAGACGGTTGAGGTTGGTGTACGTTGGTCGCTCAATGTCAAGGTTACGTCGACAGATGTCGTAGATGGCCTCGTTGTCGACCATAAAGGCGCAGTCGAAGTGTTCCATGGTGGCGTGGGTGGTCAGGACGGAGTTGTAGGGCTCCACAACAGCAGTTGACAACTGAGTGCCTGGGTAAACAGAGAATTCTAGCTTGGCCTTCTTGCCGTAGTCGACGCCGAGGCGCTCCGTCAACAGGGAGGTGAAGCCGGAGCCGGTGCCGCCACCGAAGCTGTGGAAGATAAGGAAACCCTGGAGTCCAGTGCACTGGTCAGCCAGCTTCCTGATCCGGTCAACGACGAGGTCGACCATCTCTTTGCCGATGGTGTGGTGGCCACGGGCGTAGATGTTGCCGGCGTCCTCCTTACCGGTGACCAGCTGCTCGGGATGGAACAACTGACGGTAGGTGCCGATACGGACCTCATCTGGCAGAAAAATCAGGCGCGTTAGACATAATAAAACAACCCCGGCTTCAGTTCGATCTTAGCGCTGTGATTGTCTTTACAGTGTGAGGGGCGGTAGGGTAGCCTGGTGGTTAAAGCGTTGGCTCGTCAGGCCAAAGACTCGGGTTCGATTCCCCACATGGTACAATGTGTGAAGCCAATTTCTGGTCACTCCCGCCGTAATATTGCTGGAATATTGCTAAAAGCGGCATAACACCAAACACACTCACTCACTCATGATCATTCACTCACTACAGTGTAATATTTAGGATCGTCTTAGCTGGTGATAATCGCCATTTACACTTCAAGACGTTCGATTTTAGCTTGAGGTGTCACCTTTAGTGACCATTTAATAAAGGCACATATAATACTGACGGTTTGTTCTTTGGGGTTTCTGCCTCGGTGGGGTAGCATAGTGGTTTATACGTTCTCTCTTCACGCCGCAGACCCGGGTTCGATTCCCCACATGGTACAATGTGTGAAGCCCATTTCCGGTCACCCCCGCCGTGATATTGCTGGATTACTGCTAAAAGCGGCGTAAAACCAAACTCACTCACTCACTTTGGGCTTCTTGTTGTTGCTGTTGTTGCACATGTTGTTCTGGATGCTCAGTCAAGAACATGGGTTAAAGGTAATCGTTTATTTACCGATAACGGTGGGTTCCAGGTCGACGAAGACGGCTCTGGGGGTGTGTTTCCCATCCCCGGTCTCGGTGAAGAAGGTGTTGAAGGAGTCGTCCCCATCCCCGGTGCTCTTGTCCGAGGGCATCTGACCATCAGGCTGGATGCCGTGCTCCAGACAGTATAATTCCCAGCATGTATTGCCGATTTGGACTCCGGCCTGACCCACGTG